GTATTTTACACTATACTTACCAAATAAATTAGTTGAACGGCGAACGGAACGAAAAAAACTTCTTGTCTATCAAAGCATTACGGTACGACATTTCATATCCAAAACTCGTAAAGCGCATGCGCAGTTAAAGGGAAACCACTAGAATTATTATGGCAAACTCGTTTTGATAAATGAATGGCTAAAAATAGACTACGAATTGAATATATCGGTAATATTAATTTATAAAATAACTATCGCGAAAAAGATTTTTTTTACCCCTCCCTCTGTGGAAACAAAAATTTCAGGACATTTTAGGAGAAATTTTAAAATTTAAGGAGTTTTCCAGGATTTTATCATTTGTTTTCAAATTCCAGGAGATTTCCAGGAGCTCCTGGAATTTCAGGAGGCCGCGGGAACCCTGTTATAAGTCTTGGGCATCATTCTGTTTTGAAATTCATGTTTGCGTTAGTGGACGATGTTGGATGGAGGCTGTCGGCCGTCGAGATGCACAAACACTCGAGTGCATTATCACTACTAATCATGTGTTACCAGGGACAACTATCGTCACGGACGCTTGGCGAAGATATCAAAATGTCGGTCAGCTCAACAACGGGATTTATGATCACGCTGTCATTGTGCAGGCACGTGAATTTGTTGATCCAGTAGACCAGGACATTCACACATATTATTGAAGGACTTTGGATGCAAGCGAAACGTAAACTCCGCTATCAGAGTGGCACTAGTCGCGGTCTGTTTGCCAGCTACTTGGAGCCTTCAGTGGCGCAACAGTCACAAGCAGAACGTTTCGGCTGCTATTTGAATTTGCAAATGCTATGCGCCAATGACAACATTTAGCATTTACTGACTGGTTTGTAAAGTGACAGTTATTTGCAAACGCTATGACTGACATTTCTGCTGTTTTCTAACAATAGACACTGTGCATTGCAATTTTTTTCATACGAAATAATTTGGGACCGGACTTCGGAGGATTGCCGAAAATGTGTCAACTACAAAGCCTGATCACTGATAAACATACATATATCATACCGTTGGTGCATAATCTTCAAGCTGCAAAACAAAGTCACTGAGAGGGACTCCAGTGGAAGGCTTGTCTTGAATTTGCTGTTGATTTTCCTGAGAAATTTGGCTTTGTAATATAAATTGAGGCTTTGGTGTTTCGTCTGTGTTAGACGCCATATTGAATACAAATTGTTACTAGCTACAATAAAAGTTGAACTTTAAGTTCTTAATGTTAGAAATAGCGTAAAACAAACATTTTTTATTTAATGAAATAATCTTTTTTTCTTAAAGAACGGAAAGGTAAAATAATTTCATTTTTATTGGTCGATATTGTCAGGCTTTTTCTTTACTTTAATTCTGATTTGAACTTCTTGAGGCCCTATTTCTTTAATAATTTATTGCCTACCTCTTTAAAAAGTATGGCTCTTTACATAATTTTTTTAGACGGAACATCCATCATGGATAAACAGTACATATTAAAGATAATTTCATACCGGCATCGCTCATGAGGTCGTAAAATAAATATATTATCTAGCAAAATCTTTCATTAATAACTATTAATGAGAAAGGATAAAAACAAATTTAAGATTTATCAATACTAAAAATTAATGTATCTACCTCAACGAAGAAAATTCTTAGCTTTAACTTACAGGGCAGCGGATACGAATGGAATCCCTCTTTACTCTTTACTCTTGTCTTTAGGTCTTTAAGTCTTTAAGTCTTTAACTTTTGGCTCTTATTTATATTAAATTACTTATTAGTTTAATAGCAAGAGATAGTATTCATATTTTTAAACATTATTTAGGCCTAAAACTAAACTTTTCTTTACATTTTTTAGTAAAGCAGTGCCTAGCATGCGGGAACTATAAATTATATTATAAATTAGGATCCGCTACTTAAAAAAGGATGATAATGATTCCACAATATATAAGAAAATGGTAAGTCAAGTCAGAAGTCAACTCATCTGTCAAAGTAAAACTATAACTGTAATACCACTCACTCAGTCCTCTCTTCAAGTTCAAGTCTCTTCTTGGTTGTCAAATAATTTTATAATGCTTAATAATTAACTATTAATTGTCAATAAATAGCCCTAGCAGTAGCAGTGGGTAAGTGGAATACCAACAAGAAAATTCATGATTACTCTCCTTCGCAGCACACACATTCTCATTCTGACATGTTAATGTTAATAACTCCCTTCCAAAATGGATAAACAACAACTTTTAAATAATAATGTATAATATATCAATATTATCAATGTCTGTTCAAGCTCAAATTCTGATTTTTGTCAAATTTTGATTTTTTTACACTGATCATCAATAACAAGTTTGTCAAAAAATGGACTCAGATTATAATTATGAATTTGAACGAATTTAGATGCAATTGGGGTAATTGTGGGAAAAAGACATGGGGATAATTTTTTCTCGTACTCTTAGTGTTATGTGAGTGCATATAAAGTCTAAAGTGCTTCTCTGAACCCCAAAGGCAAAGGCATCCCTAATGTAGTATACTCAAGCATGCCCCTGAAATTACTGTTAATTTACTGTATTTTCTGTTTTTGTTTGGACAGGTGGAACTCGGTTAAAATAAATCAGACATCTTTTAAAGTGAACTGCTGGTTCTGCAATGAGAATTCAATAATTAAAGTTGCAGAAAAAGAAGGCTGGACATGTGGAGTTTGTGAACAATTCAATGGATTTACACCAGTGAGAACATTTCTTAAAATCTTATTCACTTATTCATGCATCTGTAATTTCTGGAGCTTCTTAAATCAATTAAAAAGCAAACAAAGTAGTCACTTAGTTATAACTATTTTTTAAAATAATGTTAAATGTCTGATACCAGTATTTTCAGTTTTAATTCTTTAAAAAAAAATTTTAAAGACAAAAACTGCTGTTTAACTCATTTAAAGACAGGGATGAGAGCAAAAAAATATTAAGAATCCTTGCTTTTGTAGGATGGAGACTACAACCAGCCAATCAAAGAACAACAGGATGTTAAACTCCATAAAACCAGCACCTTTTGCTCATCAGAGCAGGTACAGAAAGTACCATCTCTGCTTTGTGAAATCTGTAGTCAGAATCAGGTCATCAAAGTGCGACAACTGGCTGCTTTTTCACCTTTTAATGAGGTATTATTTCTTAATATAACATGTTACTCTGGCTTCATATTATATATTTTACTGTGGCTGCATATTTAGTTATTAACATAATTATAATGAGCTTTTTAAATTTCAAGTTATTGTGTTTCTTTTTTTTCAAAATGATTCTAGCATTTAAAAATATGATAATATATCAACACTTAAAACCCCTGTCATTTATTGTTTATCCTTTAAAACATTTAGATTTTAAAACTGCATTCTTGTAACCCTTGTTTTTTGTTTTTTTAAAGTTTGAATATGAAAAGGAGATTGACATGTACAAGGACTACTTAGAAAATGTGTACACCCTGTGCAGCAAGTGTCAGAAAGAAGTAGATGAATATTTAATTACTCAAAATTCTGAAATTGTTGGCAAAATGGATAAAACTCAAAGGCAAATTCTGGACAGTTTACATCAAAAAGGAGATCTTAGTGTAAATGCTCCTGAAATGGTGAGTGAGATAATATGTTCTTTCAATGTGTAAACTAAAATCTTAGCAACGACATACTCCATTGTTATAACAAAGTATTATATTCTTCACAAAATTTTAAATGAAATTTTGTTTCCTTACCAGACTTACCTCGGTTAACTATCACAAAGTTTACACCACTGAAATGTTACATTAAGAAATGGGGTCAGCGGGGCGAGTCTAGACTCTTATGCCCCCCCCCCCCCCCCAATTACCCCCCCCCGGTCCGCCGTATCGGGCCCCGGAACGGCAAGTTGGAGATGCCCNAGTGCACTCGATCGACTTTCTCAGGAGTTGGGATGGAAAAATTTACGTCCTAATATCTTCCCCCACCCATCCCGGGAAAGCGTCGGACGCCCTATAAGAGGGATTCCACAGTGGGTTTCCACAACGCGACTAGCTCACGCTGTAGCTGGGACGAAACGGTTGCCTAGGGGCAGCGTGCTCACGGCTGCATTATTTGAATCCTCGGCCAGAGGTTACCACCCTCGCCTCTGGCCTCATACCCGTCAGCGGCAACTTGTAATCATGATCCCTACCCTGGCTCTGCCTAACTTTCCGACTGCAAAATATCACAGCCGGCAGCCCTGTGGGAGCTGTTTTATGTACCGAGCACACCCTTTGTCTGAACTCCATTGTCAGAAGAAAGAATTGTTGTGCGAAAGTTAAAAGCATCACTTATGAAGTATCGTAATATATGTCGCAATATAAAACATCAGTGTGAAGCCCAAATTACAAAAAAGAAATGAGTCTGTGAACAAAATAAGAACTACTTTTGATATTTCACACTACAACGCACCACTCAATCTGATAAAATTTGAAGAAGACAAAACATTTCTTATTGAATAGCGCTCTCAGAGGAAATATGTTAAGGTTATAGGTGAAACTAACACAAAATTAGAAAGAAATAAAGAAAAAAAAGCTTTGTTAAATGAAGAAGAAATCAGAAAACGTGTTGCCACTTAAAGTTGTAACACTAATACTGTCCAAATATTCAGATAATGATACTGAACCTTGTGAGGAAGACAAGGAAGTAGTTTTTAACGGTCCATCATCCTCAAAGTCAGTCAGATGTATTGATTTATTAAGATATTTCAAGACTTTCTGATAAATAGAAAAGTCCAATTATGAAACTAAGGCTAAAAAAAAAAAGTAAAAAAAGAAAGAAATCAGAAATTGTGCAGTCACTGAAGTTGTCACACTGTCCAATTATTCCGATGGTGATGGTAACCTTATGAGGAAGATGAGGAAGTAGTTTTTAAAGGTCCATCTTCATCAAAGTCAGTCAAGCGCAATAACCTTATTTCGTCTGTGAAAATCTTTCACAGCCTGTATTTAACATCATTTTGGAGTGGGAACTTCAGAATAAAGTGGTCTTTATGTCATTTTACGCAACAGCATCTAATAAAGGATGGCTGAATTTGTGCTTTTATTTTTATACAGAATAAAATAAAAAAGATGTTACTATGGTTGCCATGCAAACATATTCTAGAACAGTGGTTCTCAACCTTCCTAATGCCGCGACCCCTGAATACAGTTCCTAATGTTGTGGCGACCCCCAACCACAAAATTATTTTCACTGCTACTGCATAACTGTAGAGTACATTGTTTTTGGATGGTCTTAGGCGACCCTTGGTAAAGGTTCATTGGACCCCCAAAGGGTCGCGACCCACAGGTTGAAACCACTGTTCTAGAAGTTCCTTGTGGGGATATATTCAAATCAAATCTAGAAGTTCTTTGTGGAAATATATTCAAATCCTTATTTGGTTAAACATCAGGCCCCAATTTATTGATTTTTAAGAGATTTGAGGACTTTCTGAAACCTGTGAAGATGTTAGACTAAATAGAAATATGTTGGTGCTTAAAAATCAAGCAATTGAGTTTGTATTAGTTGTGCTGCAAAATGAGTCTGATACTATACCATGAGATTAATATCTTGAAATTTCAGAGCTTACACTTATTTTCTTAGGAAAGAACCCCCATAAGATTTTGTGGTATAAGATTTCATGCTCCTGGTGCCTACCACCATACCTGGTGGATGTCAAAGCTGCTCTATGTGCTGAAAATTTACATGTTTTGAAAACAGTTTCAAATGACATTAGATACGTTTGTTGGTCCATCCTTTTCTCACTTCTTCAAAATTTAAATGTATAAACCACCATTCTACATGAAGACATTGTTACCTGGAAAAAAATTAAACTCGTTTTTATTTACAAGCAAAGACAGTTGCCAGATCACTGACAGTTGTAAATGACTGTGCAGAGAGATATGGAACTTGCAACTACTTTCAGCACTTCCATTTCCATAACCTAGAATGAAGAAAGAAAACAATTTCTCCTTCAAATTTTTTAAAGCCACAGAAAACGTCATCCAAAACCTACCAAGTTGGTGATGTCTTCTGTACCAATAAACTTTATGACCTATTGTGTTTTTATTTGCAGTAAAATGTCATTTACATTGCATATATTTCTGAGATGATATGATAAAATGCCTTTAAATGGGCTATGTTATAAAAAACTTTAAGCCTTCTGAGTCAGTACTCAGACTTCACTTTTGCTTTGAAATTTGTGTTATTTGTTCACTAAATGGAAATAAAAAGCGTAAGTGCACATGAATATTTTTTACTTGAAGTACCCTTATGTGCACCTCATGATAATCAAATAAAGAACATTTTTAACCGTAAAAAATGTGTATGCAATTTTCCTCAGGTCACTCGTAATAACAGACATCAGAAAACCATCATATTAAAGATGATTTTCTTTCTGAGCACATTGTTTCCAGTACTTCTCCTCATTGCAAATCTCAGGCTATACCTGGGGTCATCTACTTCAATGCTTGGCTCACAAAGTACTGGTTATTTTGGCCAGTTCAGTAGCTATCTGGTCTCATCTATACCAGCAAGACTTGCCCTAGATGTGGAAAGTAAGGCTGTGTTCTCAGGAGCTGTTGTTTGTTTGGTTGGGCTCTTCTGTACAGGAAAATACAGGTAGGTGCTTGTCTTGTGATTTCTGAAGAAGTTAGTTGAGGTGGTTTGTAATTCCAGGTGGTGTTCTCAATAAATTCTGTTTGTGCAACATTTCAGGGGTCTGTGCACATAATTCAGAAGCAAAATCTTTGGATTGTCCTGACATCCAAAGCTAAGTATGCAGTGCATATATTAACTCTGGATTGTCCTGACATCCAAAGTTAACAGATATGCAGTGCATATATTAACTCTGGATTGTTCTGACATCCAAAGCTAAGTATGCAGTGGATATATTAACTCTGGATTGTCCCGACATCCAAAGCTAAGTATGCAGTGGATATATTAACTCTGGATTGTCCTGACATCCAAAGCTAAGTATGTAGTGCATATATTAACTCTGGATTGTCCTGACATCCAAAGCTAAGTATGCAGTGCATATATTAACTCTGGATTGTCCTGACATCCAAAGCTAAGTATGCAGTGCATATATTAACTCTGGATTGTTCTGACATCCAAAGCTAAGTATGCAGTGCATATATTAACTCTGGATTGTCCTGACATCCAAAGCTAAGTATGCAGTGCATATATTAACTCTGGATTTGTCCCGACATCCAAAGCTAAGTATGCAGTGCATATATTAACTCTGGATTGTCCTGACATCCAAAGCTAAGTATGCAGTGGATATATTAACTCTGGATTGTCCTGACATCCAAAGCTAAGTATGCAGTGCATATATTAACTCTGGATTGTCCTGACATCCAAAGCTAAGTATGCAGTGCATATATTAACTCTGGATTGTCCTGACATCCAAAGCTAAGTATGCAGTGCATATATTAACTCTGGATTGTCCTGACATCCAAAGCTAAGTATGCAGTGCATATATTAACTCTGGATTGTCCCGACATCCAAAGCTAAGTATGCAGTGCATATATTAACTCTGGATTGTCCTGACATCCAAAGTTAACAGGTATGCAGTGCATATATTAACTCTGGATTGTCCTGACATCCAAAGTTAACAGGTATGCAGTGCATATATTAACTCTGGATTGTCCCGACATCCAAAGCTAAGTATGCAGTGCATATATTAACTCTGGATTGTCCTGACATCCAAAGCTAAGTATGCAGTGCATATATTAACTCTGGATTGTCCTGACATCCAAAGTTAACAGGTATGCAGTGCATATAGTAATTGCACTAGATAACTGTTTCCTAGGCTTAAAAAATACTTTTTCCACAGTAAAATTTTCAGTCAAAATAATTGAACTTTTTTTTCAAGTACATGGTTGAATAATTAGGAGGAAAATTTAACGATTAATAATATTTAAAAATAAAAATACATAGATTTTGTATGCTCTACAAGCTGTTGACTGGGTTAAGGGGAGTATTAGCTCAGACTACAATCCCCAAGATAAGTAGAGCATATGTAATACTGTTATTGTATTTAACTGAGTTTTTATTATTAAAAGGATGTAAACATCAGTATGGTTTTATTTGATTAGGTTGTTGAAAGAATGCAATTTTATCATCCCACCAGGCTGTATCCAGAAGATGCACTTCACTTACTGTTGTGGTTGCTGACAACAATAAATGACTTCTCTTTACTGGCTGTCCCATTTAGGTGGACCATGACTTTGAACTTTGTGACCCTAATCATCTCAATCAAGTGCTGTGTTCGGAATCGTATACCTAGAAATTTTTCATTTGGTACAGTCCAAAGGTAAAGGTGATTTAATATGTGGATATTAAAAAAAAATTTTAAAAATTGTTTTAGAACATGGATGTGATAAGGAAATGCTATGTGTTCCATTACAAGAAAAATCTTGCAAATCCGTATCAGTTGCTTAAAGGAAGTGTAGCTCAGCAATTATATAATCTACATGGTACTGCACAAATTTGCATAATTTTAAAGTAGTTACATCATGGAAGTAGCAAAGATGTTTATTGATTCCTGTACCCTTACCTGTGAAACAAATTTTATAAGCACCATAGAGATTCTTCTGTTCACTAACATAGTATTGCTTGGAATTTTGGGGATGACAAATCTGCCCAACAAGCTGGAAGTAAACAATAAGATTTGCTGTTTGGGGAAGATAATAGTAGTGATAACAGGGTTCTCATTAAGTGAAAGAAGATCAATAATGTCTTCAACTTGCACACATTTTTTTTAAGATTACCCCAAAGTGGTGATTAGTTTTATAATCTTTGAGTTTTTATTTTAGGAAAACTTTTTCAAGAAAAAGTGTTTCCACCGTTGTTTCTAATGAAAACAAGGAAGCTGTCCAGGAAGAAGCACCTCATTCTGGTGATGTTTCAAAGTTAGATTCCAGCTTTAAATCTGAGTTGCCTGTTGTGGCGGATGATAAAAGTCCTCATTTTGAAACAGTTCGACAAAATCTTGAGTCATTTTCACTTGGACTTGGAAAAAAATCTGGTCAGTGGTTGTAAGATCAAGTTAAGACAAACAAATGGCTGTTTGGTTAGTAAATTTTTAGGCTTATTGAAAGCATTGGTGTTCTGGAAATTCTACGTGCTGTTACACCTATTTTATTTTGGTTTTTTATTTTTAAACAGGCTCCAATTCCAGCATCTGGTCTCAGGCTCCAGTGGTGACGTCATCCTCATCGTCCACAGATTTATCTCCAGATTCATCAAGTGACCTACCTATGTTACCTAAACGACTTCTCTCACCAAGCAGACTTGGCTTTCTTTCCTTTGATTCTCAGTCATCATCCAAAGGTCAGAAGCTCATAACTGATGCATGCCTGAAGTTAAGCATCTGCTAATGAGTTATAATGGTTTTTTAAATTTGATACAATGACAAATTACATGCTGTTTATATCATTTGTGGGGGGGGTGGGGTTCTATTTTATTTTTTGTGAAACTTAATGTAAAATTTGAAATTAATTAAATAATTATTGTTATAACCCACATAAATGTACCAAACCGTAGCTTAAATTATTAAATTAGGGGCCATCCATATTTTATGTAGCCACTGGGGGGGAGGGGTGTTGATCTTGGATATTTTGCGTATAAGAGCGAAAAAGGGTTGGGGGGGGGGTGTCTCTGCAGAAAGTGTTTACATTTTTAAAAAACTTTTTCAATAATAATCATGAAATTTTCTTGGTCCAAAAATATAATAATTATATCTTAGCTTAAATTATTAAATTAGGGGCCATCCATATTTTATGTAGCCACTGGGGGGGAGGGGTGTTGATCTTGGATATTTTGCGTATAAGAGCGAAAAAGGGTTGGGGGGGGGGGGTCTCTGCAGAAAGTGTATACATTTATAAAAAAATTCTTCACTAATAACCATGAAATTTTCTTGGTCCAAAAGTAGCATAATTATATCTCGAATGCTCTAGAAATATCAGCAATTTTTTTTAGGAATTATCGTCATAATTTTGTCTTGTGTTTTCACAAATGAACTTGCTAGATATTACCCAGATAGTACTCAGTAGTAGAGGTATTAAAGTAATATTTAGTCCACCGTATGTTCAAAGTGCAGGTGACGTATATTTTGTTGGGCTGCCATTTTTATATTCTCAGCGCATATTCCAAATATAGGTTTTCACCAGACGCTCTTTGTAAGTGCACCTTGAAATCGCGAATGCTTATCTAAAATAACATAAAGGATGGGTAAAAATAAATGAAACATGTATGTAGGTCACTGTCACCTAGTAATTGCAAACAGAAGTTACTCAAGTGGGTCAGATCAGAGCTAGGATAAGTTTCCTGTTATTGGAGATTTATTATAAGGTAGCATTTTATTTAATATCTTTACACCAAAGGTCTACACCTATCTCTTCCAAGATCCTTCTCAGATACCTTATTCACCCATAATCCATGGTTCATTGTTTCACTGTTTGTAATTATAATTTCCTACCTCCACAGATAGTAACTCACGCAGTCCTTCCCCATGGTCTCCCATCAGCTTAAATAAAAGTGCTTCCAACTCAGCTGACCCCCTTGGTACATGGACACACCACCAGCAGTCAGAATCAGAAGTGACAAGGCCACATCCATGTGTTTTAACAAGTCAGCATGGTTACCTCAGTCCCAATTACTCTGGATCTTACACAAAGTTTCCCCAAGTTCCTGTTACAACAGAATCCATCTCCTCTGATTATCTTCAAGGACCCTGTGATTCTCAAACGTGTGAAAGTCCTATAAAAAACGCAAGCCCAGGGATATGGCAAGCCATGGGGAACAATGTGACCAATGGCCTTGGGAATCAGAATTCGCTGGAGAACCTAAATTTAAATCCTAAACCTAAAGCTTTGCGAAGGTCACATCGTATTGCTATGGCAGGAAGGCGACCGAAACCCTGGCCACTGCAAAAATCTTTGAGTTGCACTAATGCTTATGACAAATACAACTTAGAATCTCTTTGGCATTCAAACATAGAAGCCAACACCGTTGTACGTAATAGGCCAAATTTTGCATCTGTTGTTGACTCTCTTGGACACATAAGAGAATCTGATAAAGTCCAATCACATCAAGACCCACACATACAGAGTCAACCTAAATCAAAATTAAGATCTCAGAGAATTAAAATTAACAGAGGAGATAAAAATAAAAACTGTAAATCTGCCATGGGAGAGATATCTGATGATGAACAAGATGACTGTCATTTCAGCTGGAATCATGGAGGTGGCAACTATGTCGCTGAGCATAAAAATGGTAAGTATTAATAAAAGAGGTAAGATAAATTAAAAAAAAAAACAACATACACGTTTAGGACTTTTACAGGTAACGACATTTTTTTATGGACACGTTTTTAAAAAAATATACTTGTAACTATGAAATTTTAATTTATACAAATAGATATTTTCTATGACTGTGTCATTATGTTACATAACAAAATATGACATGAGCCCATGTTCTAACAATAGTTTATTGTATGGTATTCTCATTGGTGTTAATTTTTTCCTAATTACAATCATACAAGTAAGCAAGAAGAAATCATAAATGCATTTACAGTTTTGTTTACCTTTAAAATAGTTTTTATGCAAGTGTAATTTTTATGGTGACAGCCTAAAGTTTTTATGGGCATTTACAGACAAGTCGTTTTAGGTCAAATTTTTACAGACATTGGCAACCCTGTTTGTCAAAATAGTTATAAAATAGAGTCCAAATATATACAAATTAAATACCTAATCTAGGGTTAGCTTCCATCTTCATCTACTAGGTGGGTAGAAAAAAATAGGGGGTGGGGGGGGTGGGGTGGTAATTACTCATATGTTGAATTCATTGATACATCTTTTTTTCTTCTATTATTAGAGATTTGCACCCCTTGTGCACAAGCAATGTTAACACACCCCTGTATTCCACTATACAAATTAATGCAATAAATCATTTTGTACTAGAGCAGGGTTAACTAATTTGGAGCAATAGGGAAATCATTTGTGGAAAAGGGGCGGGGGGGGGGGGGGCCTTATAGCTTTTTAGCTATGAAATGTGTTCACATTTATTTTTAAACAGGGTGGGGGTGGCGCATGTTAGGGCACCTTGTTTTTTTTTATGCAATAAATCATTTTGTACTAGAGCAGGGTTAACTAATTTGGAGCAATAGGGAAATCATTTGTGGAAAAGGGGCGGGGGGGGGGGCCTTATAGCTTTTTAGCTATGAAATGTGTTCACATTTATTTTTAAACAGGGTGGGGGTGGCGCATGTTAGGGCACCTTGTTTTTTTTTAAGCTAACCACTGATATTGTTTGTCATTTATTCAAATACAAATATGTTCACTTATTGTAATTTTTATACTATGCTGAATTTCAAGGCCTAAAAAATGCAGCTAATTCAATCTTCCTAACAGCAGCGTGAAGACCTAGTTATTATTTTTTCATTTGTGGCTTTTTCACTAGTGTGGGGAGGTGGGGCATAAAACCTTTTTAAGTGCGCAGGTGTAGGTGGGACAAAGAAAGGTTAGGAAACACTGTAATAGAATTAAACAAAATGAATGTATCTATGATTACAGATGTAGAACCTTTTAAAAAGTATTTATACTCTTAATCCATTTAGTTGATAATTACTGGAGTAGCTTTAGCAAAATGTCCTTATATTTCATTGAACAATTAAACTCCTCAGATTTTTCTTGGAAATGGATTTTCTTGGGACTCTTAATTGGTGTCAGTGTCACCACAAATGTCTTCCTGGTGCTCAACAGATACCTGCCATCTGCATTATGAGGTGATTATTAACAAATACTTGCCGTCTGCATTGTGAGGTGATTAATTCTTGGTGTGTTCCGATAGTGTTTTGAAGAGATATGTGAAATCATGGTGCTACATTTGATCTGTGCTTCAATGGTGAGACAGCTGATGAACCCTGCCTGCTTTTTTGATACACCCTCCCATACAAAACGGGATTGTCACAGTTCCAACTGTCATCTTGTACCAAGCACATTCACAGGCAGTCGGAGGTTACCAATCTAAGTAACAGGTTAGGCAGTCAAAAAGTTTGTATGGGATTATCCTACAGATTTAAAGCCATTCACTTGAAAGTCCACTGTAATTAGTACCAGCTGTTCATAAAAACTATGAAAAGATACTGTTATCATTTTTCTAGTGAAAACTTGTCAAGTTGTTGTTGTCTACAGTTGAAGTGTAATGTTATCATGTGGGTGAAATCTGCATGAACTCTCGTATTTGTAATTGTATGAGCAATTTTTAGAAATAATTTAATTCATGGTCGCAACATTGCTTTGTTAACAAGAATTCAATGCTGATGAGGACATATTTTTATGCGAATCAGATGGGAAAGGGAGGTGAGAAAGTTTGAAAATCTCTAGAGTGCACTTTCAGACTTGCCCCTTTGTCCATAAAGTGGTGCAAAAATGATTTTGTATAACAAGAGTTATGAAAGTTTTGGATCACTTGTCTTTCTCACTCCCCTTTATCCAAATGCATTTATTGGAATATTCTAATGTAAACTATCTCGCCAGCTCAAATTATACCTCACCTAATAAGTTTGTAATTTTTAGCACAGAAAGGACTTGCATTTAAACAAAAATTCTCTTGTTGGGCTGTTAATCTATACAAATAAAAGTGCCATCTATATATATAATTCGCCAGCGAAACTAGGGCAAGAAGCAAGAAGACGACGACACAGGTTATATATAGATACGCCAGAGCAAGCAAGACGCAGGCAAACCCTCCCCTCCCTTCCCTTGCCTGCCCATCGTTGGTCTCGAGACATGCGCACTGTGGTGGAGCTACCGCCCCCCCCCCCCCCCCCCCCC